TGTGTATTTCCTGTCTGTTTTGACGGACTTATGTATGCTAAATTCGTTCTATCGCGTCGCGGGCTTAAGTTGACATTTATTTTCAGTTTCTTGTAATTATTTTTTTAAGGAATATTTCAAGTCCTCATAAGAATAGTGAGCCGCTGGTCTGTTCCAGTTGCATGTACCTATACCCCGACCTACGAAGAACGTATTATTTTATGGTTGACAACCCTCAAGAAGGTAAAACTTTCGTTTTTTTTTTTTCTGGACCGTTAACGCTTATCCAGCTCGTAACTCATCACCTATTATTTCTGAATTTTTATTGCTATCCCTGACGATTGTTATTCTTTAGGGAGGTTGTCACGAAGGCGAAAGAAACTGAAGGAGGATTTTTTAGCGTTGAGTTTTGACGGCTCGTCGTTAGTTTCTTTTATATCCCCCGCATGTCATTTGGAGGAAATACCGTCAACGAGCTGTCTACGCAATACTTTGAACGCTCTGCAACGGCCTAACGGCAGTCAGTTATTACTTTCAAATTTTATGTATGTATAAATTATTTTCTTATGTTTAAGAAAGCATGGTTTGGCAGTTGTGCAATGGTCATAGGTCGAAATTTATATCTGTGTATAATCGGTATCAGGTAAAAGTTCAAGAATGTTCATTGCAGGTAAAAATTCAACTCTTATTCCTGAACTGGGAGATTCGGAATTAAGTGCAGTATCTTTTCAAGATGTCACTCAATATCAATCGCAACGTGCTCGACCCCTTCTACCGTTACAAGATGCCACGCCTGTTGGCAAAAGTCTTTATTTCCGAGATGTTCAATTTATGCTTCAAATTTTTTTTACATAAAATTTATTGGAGCAACTTGATGTTTATTTTTTAGGTCGAAGGCAAAGGAAATGGAATCAAAACGGTAATCGCAAACATGGCAGAAATCGCCAAAGCTCTTGAACGCCCTCCCACATGTATAAGTTCTAAAAACACTTTCCGAACTCCTCTATTTTGTTTTTGTTGAGAAGCCGTCTTCTAGTGGTCTCAGTTTTTTAATCCTTAGTCTGGTTTTATAGATCCTACAAAGTATTTTGGTTGTGAATTGGGTGCGCAGACCAACTTTGACATGAAAAATGAACGCTTTATTGTTAATGGAGAACATGATGCTGCAAAGCTCCAGGACATTCTTGATGGTTTTATCAAAAAGTTCGTGTTGTGTCCTGCATGTGAAAATCCTGAGACGACTTTGGTTAGTTCTGCTCACCTCTATTTAGCACAGTTCATACTGAGTTTCTTATTAAGTTTCTTATGACGTCGGAAAATTGCTTAGAAACCAGGCTTTTCGAAACATTTTCGTTACAGTCCGTGCGCAAGGGTCAGATTCATAGTAAATGCAAAGCGTGTGGCAATGCTTCAATTATTGATCCTAAACACAAACTTTCAACTTTCATTCTTCGAAACCCACCAAAATCTACCGAGGACAAGGAGAAAAAAGAAAATGGTAATGGTTCGGATGAGCAACCTGAGGGCGAGGCACTTAGCGATAAGGATAACTTGGTATGGTTTGTTGTTTTGTTACCTGGTGGTCATCTTCTAATATTTGTATGCGTTGCAGAATGGAAGTGGATCTGATGAGGTTGATGACGATTGGGCAGAACCAGTGGAGGATTCTACTAACCAAGTTTCAGCTCAAATTGGGAAGTTGATCATTAGCAAAGATTTGGAAAAACCAGTTGAAGAGAGGCTTGATATGCTTCATCAGTATTTCATGAAGGCGAAGAAGGAGAGCACTCTTCAGGTCGGCATTTGCTTTCTTTTTTTTTCTTTTTTTTTTTTCTTTGTTGTTGTTGTTGTTGAAACTAGACTGAACCATATTCTTTACTTGAAAGCTCTGAATGGTATACGTTCATTTTTTCACTTTTCAGGATAGTAAAGCACTTTTGAATGAAGCTGAACGTTTGGAGCTCAAGTCAAAAGCTACTCTTCTGCTTGCTGATGTTCTTTTCGATGAAAATGTGGTCGCACAGATTAAGGAATATCGCACATTGTTGTTGCGATTTACACTGGATGATCACAGGGTAAGCTGTTGCTAAAGCTTGTTTGGTAACGGCTCTTTATCGTCAGTTATTTTGGCAGTGAATGGTTTTTTCGTGGCTGAGGTGTGAATGATTTTTCGATTTTGTTCACTGGAGCTTTTAGTTAATTGTCGCTTCTTTTTTAGGCGCAACGTCATCTTCTTGGTGGTATAGAGCAACTTATTATGAAACACATGGATATTCTTCTTCCGAAATCACCGCATATCATTAAAGCTTTGTACGACAATGATGTTGTTGAAGAGGAGGTTTTGTTGGCATGGGGAGAAAAGGTACTGAGCCTCCAAATTCTTTTACAACCGAGTTGTATCGCGAGGAATGATTGGTTTTAGAACAGAGAAGTTACTATGCGCCAGACATAAATTATATTTTACTGTTTGTAGCCGAACAAAAAATATGTCGGGAAGAAGCTTTGTGCAGAAATTATCAGTCGGGCGAAGCCTGTTTTGGATTGGCTGAGAGAAGCAGAAGAAGATGATGAAGATGAGGATGAGGCAGATGATGATGCAATAGAAGTAGTTACTTTTGATGTACTTTCGGTTCCTGCATAGTAAGAGCTCTTTGCTTAAATATCTGCTTGATGGCTGTTGTTTCAGTTTAACGATCGTGCACGTCAAGTTGGGACTGTAGATGAGGCCAAAAAGTTAAATGGATTTGTGAAACCTGTGGAGAGGGTCAAAGTGCAGGCAGAGAACGGCGAGGAACTTGACATTGATGACATTTAAGTGAGGAGTGTTTTTGCTTTAGATTTCGTGTCCCTATCTCTCCGTTCAGGCGCTTTTTCATTGTAATTTTATCATTATATGTGGATGTGCAGTTGTCGTGATTTTATTATTATTTTTATTATTATTATTACTATTATTATCATCGCCACTATTATTCCTCTTACTACTTTTGTTACCATTATTTTCTTCACAGTTACCACCATTAGTTGCTTCGCTCCTAATTTCGTCATCTTGTTGCCTTTGTCGTAGTGTGGCTTTGGTCAATTTCTTTTTTTATTCTGCTTTCGCAGGGGTTTCCTTTCAACACAACCCTGGTGCGGTTTAAATTCTGTGAAGTTTATTCAGTAGTTGTACGCTAATTGCTTTGACTTGCGTTATCCTGAGTGCGAGGAGTATTCTGTTAGTGGTACCTCCATTGGTGTCTCGATAGTTTTTATTGTTGTAGGCCTTGGTTGTCTGTGGTAACCTTCAAGATGCATTTTTTTTTTATTCAGTTTCAGAGTTGGGTTGGACCGTCGGCGTTCCCCTTCCAGTTGTGTGCTAGTTCTAGTGTTCCACGTGTTTGTTCGTTTTTGAAGTTTTGACCATTAAAGATTATTTTCTCTGCGTTTGGGCAGCTTACTTAGTTGGCGGTGTGGTATCATTCGTAGTCAAGTTAGTGTCCGGGCACTGGTGAGCCGGTGTGGAATGATTTGGCTTCGCGAGTCGTTTGGTTGAGGCAGTTGTTAAAGATTGCGTCATCCAAGAAACAGAGCGCAGCCTGTGGAGGAGTTTCGTTTTTTGGGACGGGCGAGTAATTTTGCCGGTTGGATGGCTAATTTGTAGACAGGTTAGTGGTCCTGATTCGGGTCATGTCGACTTTGGTAAAAATACGGTTTCTAGGGAGAGAAGTCATTGTACCTACGGTAGTGTAGGCTTCATGCATCCTACGAATTCCGGTGGGAAAGTGAACTAGCACATGAGACGTACTGGATTTCTGTTGCCAAATGTATTTTGTAGTTTTATAAACTTTCCTCATTTAATATCTCAAGAGCTTAAATTTTATTTAATAGAATTTGGACCTAAATTTAAGAAATCGAAAAGGAGATGTGGACATGTGAAGCCCGCGCCAAGTTACCTTCTCGTGATTGTGAAGTTCTTCAGTTTTCTGCTCGAGATAACTCTCTCTCTCGACTTGTAACTTTGGAAACTCTGTTTTTCAGTTTACTTGGTTCTTGTAACTTCTACCTTTGAGTAATGCTACAGCTTTTAGTGTGGTAAAATAGCTTCGTGGATAAAACAAGAAGTTGAAATAAGTATAGTAAAAAATAATTTTTTAGATCTAAAAGCAAACGTTGCCTGCTTCACAACCTGTTACAGTTCAGTGACTTTCCTCTGACAGGGTTCAAGAGATATGCGGTAAAAGTCGAGATGATAAAAACTGTTGATAAAAATTCACTTTCATTTACGTTGTTAACGCGAGCTTTACTGTGGGGAAACGATTTTCAGCCGCAAAATCTGTTTCTGAAAGCCAAAGCGAGCTGTTATGCAAAATGATACTCAGTTGTTGGAAACTTGTTCCAGGGAATTATATTTCATAAAAAAGCAGTATTGCCTAACTATTATTGTAGACTTGTAGTAAGCCCCTTCTACTCGAATATCTCCCGCTTCATAATTTTTTGCTCAACTGCGGCAGTCGAGAAAAAGAATTGTTCCTGCATGATTTTCTTTGCTATTTATAGAATAACAGCAAAAGTTACTCGGAGTCCAACGATGCGAAAAGCCTTGCAAGTTTTGGTAGTAACAATGTTTGCTTTTCCTTGTAAAATGCTTGCGATGAAAGAGTTGTACGAATGCGATGTAATTTCTGCTGAATAGTGTTAGGCACGAGAAGAGAAGCTATTATTAATATTATCATTAATATTTTTTGGAGACTAGAGGAGAATACTGTTTTGTGGTTTTAGCCCTTCAAACACTGGTCGTAAAATTTTTCTGGATTTATTAGGATCCCGAATTTAAAGGATCACAGTTAGAGAGGTTAGAAGAAGAAGGTTAACCTCAGCTAGTACCTATTTGTGGAACTAAAATACCGATAATATGGATTATAAATGTGCTTTTGATAACCTGGAAGTCTTCCGCATTATCGGAAGCAAAATCTTTTGCATCTAGTCAGTAATCATTTGAGTATTTGGTACTTTTTTTTTTTTAATGAAATACGACTGCCTGGAACGGGTCTTCAACAACTGAGAATCACTTCATTTTTGCAACAATTCACCCTGGGGCCCTCAGAACCAGATTTCACGGCTGAAAATGACTCGGCTACAACAAAACGCACCTCACTTTTGTAATCACGTGGATTCTGTCAGCTTTAGCTCGTTTCCTCACGTATATCTCTCGACTCCAATGGAGGGAAACCACCAAATTGTGAGAGCTTTCAAACACTTCCAAATAAAATGTTCTTCTTGTATTTGAAAGGATGTTTTCTTCTCATAGCTCTTCAAACTTCTGCTTCAGTTGCGTCGAATTAACTGCTTTGCAGAACAAAAGGCTGAAATACTTGACAGTAGAAGACACTGGGACTTGAGAAACTAAAAAACAAGACATGTCGTTAAGGCTGAGCTGAATTGCCAATTCGAAAAAAAAGGAATTTGACGAACTTCACAACTTCCACGTGGAATAACTCGGTTAAACGTTTACCTGTCCAGACACCTCCTCGCCTTCTCAAATTCGAACCTAAACTCCACCAAACAGCAAAGCCTGATGAGATTTTGAGAAGTCAAGTGGAATAGGGATGTAAACCGGCATGAAATGATCCATTTATTTTTTGACTTCTTAATACAATAACGAAGGGGAGTTACGAAATGAATGATACAAGAACTCTCGTATATCAAAAGCAAGAGAAAATTCAACGAGATGAAAACACGCTAAGAATTATGAAGAACAAGCAATGTTGCAACAATATATACAGAAATAAACACCACAGCAATTTGTCTTACCCTGCCATGAAAATTCTAATTTGTTTTAGTCCTCAAGTTATAGAAAAGTAACCACCATATGTAAAGTTACGAGTTCCTCGTAACTCGATTCTGCAACAAAGCAATTATTAAAAAGTTCCGCCGAACGTAACATACACAGCACCATTCCCTTTCTAAACGTAATCAAACTTTGTTTAGCGATATTTCATATAGGTAACATCCTTGCTTCGTAGCACAGGGTCGCTCAACTGCTCTAGCTGCATCTCCCCATCTCTCGCTTTTTGCATATCATACCTTAAAAATAGGGGTTTCGTGAACTAATAAGTGACATAACAGGCAGAATAATCAACAACACTCGTCTTACACTGTATTTAGCAAATGCTGTTCATTTTTTACGAAGCCAGTCCTCTGTAAGCGTTCTCCATGGTAGCCGACACCTGCTCTCTTCATTGAGATACGGACACCTCCAACCTCTTCCACTTCTTCAGAAATCGCTTCAACTTTCCCACATTCTTTCTTCCCCAAACCCTTTCCAGGCTTCCAACCAAACCTATAAAGAAATTTAGCTAGTTATCTTCTCAAAAATTACAATTTTTAGAGAACATTTACCTTTTTAAAATTTTACTTCCAACGCCTTTTGTATGCTTTTCAAACCCACCAAATGGTAAATAATCATCCCTATGCTCTTTTCTATTAATCCTCTTCCGTTTCTGTGTTCCTTTAAAATCCTTTTGAAACACGAGTTTTGTTATTTCCCCATTTCTGTAAAAAAAAATTGTTACTGTGTATGTGTTGGAAGTCATGATTTCCTAAAACAAGGGTAGACGTTTCCTTGAATGCGTCGTAAGTCCTGCAAAATGGCAGGGCTGAAAATTTGAACCTGTAACAAAGTATTTTTGCCATTATGCACAGAAAAAGTAAGAGACCTTAATTTTTCATCTTCAAAGATTTCCACTGCCTGTCTTGCATCTAAAGTAGAGCTTGATTTATCGTAATAAACACTGTAATCAACATCCCAGTCATCTGCCCACTTCCAGTCTGTATCAGTTCCCTCTTCGGCCTCTTGCCAAAAGGAGGTGTCAGTGTACCACACAAGACCTGGGCCACCTTTTTCCCATGTTACCTAAACTCCACTAGCAATGCATGTGAAAACGTATCACTGTCAAATGTCATTTAAAAAGCCGCTATC